AGAGAGAGAGAGAGAGGTCGGCAGTGTGCAGTTGTTTGGGTTAATTGGTACCATTTGCCAGAAATAGCCATCAGGGAAAGGGATGCAGACGTGTCGTCCCCAAGGAATGGATATCCACAGGGTTGTGATTGAGGGTGACATGAGAGAGAATGCTGGGGGACATGGAGGTATAAGGCGGGATGAGTCAACAAGTGATTCATTCACACGGCAAACCCTTGATTCATTCCATTGTGCATTTATCCAAAAGGAGTCTTCTGAAGTGGAGTGCCATTGCGACTTGGTATAGGAAGCAAGGTTTTTGAAAACAATAATAATGGATTAATAGTTCTCCTGAAAGCGCAAGGGTTTGTCCGACCTTTCCACGATTGGTCGTGGCTTTACCCTGGGGAATCGTGTGAAAGGTGAGGGAGACTTTCAAAGCGAGAATGGAAGTAAAATAACCTTCTCTCCATTGAGTCCGTCTTCACATTTCGCCCCTCCCTTCTGCATGCAAAGCTCTCGTCCAACGACAGCTTGTCACAAAACTTGGGATGTTGTAGGAGAGTTCTGAAATCGGTCGTGCCACTCTAGCACGGGTCTTATTGGTGCGAAGAAAGTATGGATCTGATTGCGAAAATAGCCATGTTCGTGTTGTTAGCTTAGCGCAAGTCCTGCAGCCATGGGGCACATAAGTTAGCTCTACTTTCTCTCTCCTCCTAGAGGATTCGGTGGAAAGCTGGAGTTCGTACGTTGGTTTGACTTTATCTTTTTCTAATCTTTTGTCGTGTCCCTTTTGCTGTTGACGAGGTTGGGCAGGATATGAGCTTTCCTTTCTCTTGTTTTTTTCTTCTACTTCAGGGGTCGTACCCCTTACATGAAGTGTCAAGAACCCCCCCTCCCAGCTGACAGTAGGCAATTGTGGAATTTTGTGTGTTTTAATCTATATTCTGTTGTTTGTTTTCGCGTCTTTTGCTCCTGTCCTGAAGGTCGTTGAAGACGGGTACGAGTTCTTTGCGAAGAGGCAGCTCGTGACAATTTTCTCGGCTCCGAATTACTGCGGTGAATTCGATAATGCGGGAGCGATGATGAGTGTGGATGATACGTTGATGTGCTCGTTTCAGATTCTTAAACCCTCAGAGAAGAAGGGGAAGTTTTACGGTGTCAACGCCTCTCGACCAGGGACACCTCCGCGATCAGCCAAGGTATATGGTGATGAGGACTGAAAGGCCTGGGGATTGGATTGCGATTGGAACCGAGTGAGGAGATCAGTGTGTACTGTTCATATCATAATCTGTTCATGTCCTTCTTGGCAATCTGGCAGTCGTGCGCATGGAAAAGGATGCGATGACAGTCTTTATTCCGAACGTCGATTACCGCTTGTTTACTACTCCTGCCGCGATCCTCTAGCAATCAATCATCTGCAGACGAGTGTGGTTCTGTCGTTTTGCATCAGAGACAGAAGACATTTTGATTTTGCAGATTTCCCAACAATGTCCTCCTCTTGCATCATTGTTTATAGCACCAGTTTTCATCACAGGCCATTTATCCTTTTCTCAATTCTCAGGAGATTCAGAGACTGTCATCCAGCTGGCGGTGAAAAGTTTTTGTCCTAATGCTTTGACTGACATTGGGGGTGTTTGTGTCCCCTCCCAAAACACACACACACACACACACACAAGAACTCTGGTGGCCTTTGACATCTATTCTGCTGCGACGAGAGGTCGCTTCCCGGGTGATTGTTTTACGCACACACAGACACAGACACAGACACACACACACACACACACAAGAACTCTGGTGGCCTTTGACATCTATTCTGCTGCGATGAGAGGTCGCTTCCCGGGTGATTGTTTTACAAGATGACTGCTATTCCTCTATAAATGCGATGAGCACTTCCAAAACATATGTGAAGTAACACGGTTACCTTTTGCAGTCTACAACCTTGTCACTCTGGCAGTGCTAAGCGGGTGTTCTGCCTAGAACACACCGCTTCATTGATACTGGACCCAAGGTTCTCTATAGGCCTTGTATTGAGCTGAGTCGTACAGCGCACTTTGATGGTTAAGTTCCCTTTTGAAGTAACGTGCCGATGACATCCGTATGGGGCGCATGTCCTCCCATGGTCCATGCTTGTTCCACCAAAGTGTAGTCCCAGCAGTTGCAGCAAGAAATGCCATGTAAAGGCTTGCAACCAAGAAACACTGGTCCGCCGACAATGGTGTCAAAGTTCACGGAGTACCTTCCTGCTTGTCAAGTCCACCTCAGCTGCCTCTTAAGTCCTCTGTTGACTTTGGTCCTCTCATTCCCAAGAGGAATTCCCAAGAGGAATGAGCTAGGTGCTGGCGACGACCATAAGCGACTTGATCAGCTTATCGAGTGGTGTGCTGTGTGCTGGCTATACTATATACATCAGAGGGAATGCTGAGAATACATGGCAGGTTTGCGTATGCGAGAGCATTAGCGTTTTCCTGATGTGCCATTCCCATGGAGAGGCTTGAAAAACCTTGGAGCTTGGTTGACATCTTTTTCCTGCTGCCAGGTTGTCAAGCAAACAACAGAGCAGATAGATGGTAGAGTTTTTGCGTAAGGGCGTTTTTTTTTTGTGTGAAGGTACCTCAAAACCATCGAGCGTCTGCGGACCTGTGGGATTCACACAGATGGCCATAATAGGTATGCTTGCTGTTCCTCTTTTTGTTTCAGTAGGTGCCTTTTTTTTGCAAAGTTGAGAAGGTTCGTTCTCTTTATCTTTTTCCGATTCCTGTGCAAGGTGCAGAAAAGAAACGACAACCAGGTGAGACTTTGCCGGACTCTCAAATAACCAACCCCTGTGCTAGTGGAAAAAGGTCCTTTCTAGCCAAATGACAGTTCAATTTGGCGTATCCACGCACGTTAGCTGTTTCATTGAGTGGCAGCAGCTTTTTGCCGAACACCGGTTGAGAGTATAGGTCAGCTGATGACGACCATAAGCGACTTGATCAGCTGATGACGACCATAAGCGACTTGATCAGCTTAAGATAGGCTTGGGTCAACTGGCAGTGAAGTATCATTAACAGGCAGCGGAGTACCATTAACTGGCTGGTAAAGGTCGGGTTAAGGGGAGGTGGAATCTATATGCAGGTGACGAGTGTCATAATCGTGTGATGTAGAAGAAGCTGGTGTCTTATATAGTGGATGCCCCTGTGTAGGCCGCTGGCTGCATCTCCGGACCCCACCGGCAGGTTGAACTCTGACGTCTCCGACGTCTCTGGGGCTTCTCGCGGAAGTTGCAACTGCTGCTAATCTTGATCGTGGCCTCACGCAATCATCGTCAGATTTGACAGTCTGAACTCAGAAGCTGGGAGCACAGTGTACAGCTACCTACGGATGGCAGTTGTTAGATGGATGTGTGCGCCAGAAAATAAAGTGCACTGAGTCGTGATGACGTCGCTCTTGGAATCTGGAACGCGTGTCCCATCAGGAAAGGGGAAACCAGACGCTGAACGGAAGGGAAACAAATGCAGAGGCCCTGTTTACAGCTACCTAAAGATGGCAGTTGTTAGATGGATGTGTGCGAGAAAAAAAGTGTACTGTACTAAGTCGTGATGACGTCGCTCTTGGAATCTGGAACGCATGTCCCGTCAGAAAAGGCGGAAATCAGACGCTGAACGGAAGGGAAACAAATGCAGAGGCCCTGTTTGGAGTGCAGAAACCGAAAAGGAAAACGTGCCCGTTCTCACAGCTGCTGACAGCGTTGGTTTGTTGTGTTGTGTAATTCTTTTGTGTGTGCGTTGTTGTGGGTTGCAGCCATATCAACCGGGCAAAGGCTAAGTGTCGGACTTCACACTGAGAGGTGCTAGGGTCAATCAAACGGGTCCACGCTGCGCTGGCTGGCTGGCAGGCAGAGTGGTGAGCAGCGTGATATACACCGCATGAAGCTGGCCATCAGATCTATGCTTCACCCTTGGTCTTTGATGGAGCGGCAGAGCAGAAGAGAGAGAGAGAGAGAGAGGTGGATGTTACCCCTGTCCTATTGATCTTACGAAGTACTGGGTACTGTGATGGAAGCAGGGGTGGCAGCGTGCGATGCCTTGTCAGGAGCAGTTAGTCGCGCATGTTTCTAGGTGACAGCGGAAGGGAGCTACACTGGGATGGAAATCTCTCTTTTGCCTAATTCATGGAGAAGGAACATAGCTACGCTGGTCTTGGTAGGGCATACCTGGAGTGTGCAGTGACGGAGAGTGTGTGATAGAGGGTGGTAGAAACTGGGTCAGCTGGAGGAGAGAGGCAATGGCAGCAGGAGCAGCAGCAGGGAAAACGCCGGTGGTGCTGTTGCTGGTCATGATGGGTAAGCGAGGAGGGAGAGGAAGGAGAGTAAGGAGCGGGGGGAGGGGAGGAAGAGGGTGCAGAGGTGTAAGAAGTGAGGTGCTGAGGATGGGCAGTAAATGATGAAACTGTTTGCCTGCTGCAAGCAGAAAATGGCACAAAGTTTTGGTCCCCGATAGGATGAGGATTCGTTTGGCTCGAATCTACTGCCAACGTCTCATTTCAGGCACGCGTCACGGTTTCTCATGGTATGATGGTGGTGGTTCAAGGACGTCTGCCGACTGGCTTCCAGGGAGGATCGATTGATCACGCATGCGCATGCTCACCCCTACCCACTCGTCTCCGTCGTCCCATGCTTCTGTTAGTTTGCACCTACAGATGTCATATCACTATTGTTTTGCTGCTCTTGTAACGACAATCTTGGTGCTTGGCTCTGGAGGCCTGTATGCTTCACTATGAGGATTTGGAAGGGTGGAGGAAGTCTCTGTATAGCATACTTGCATTTTTTTGCGCCTGTGCTTGACCATGTGTATGTGCCTGTTTGCTCACCTGTCCATCGTAAGTTCTCTGTGTGTGGGTTTCTGTGTGTGTGTGTGGGTGCATGTGTTTGTATGCGTAAAAGCTATCAGAATGGTCACTGCATATGAAGTTGCTTGCACCTGAATGACCAACGGATAGGGATGGCATGCATGTATCCCACAGTTGCTTTTGCGTGTGCATCTGCACCTCGCTCTGTGTGTTTGTTTGTGTTTGTGTGTCTGTGTGTGTGTGTATGTGTGTGTGTGTGTGTGTGTGTGTGTGTGAGTGAGAGAGAGAGAGAGAGAGAGAGAGAGAGAGAGAGAGAGAGAGAGAGAGAGAGAGAGAGAGAGAGAGAGAGAGAGAGAGAGAGAGAGAGAGAGAGAGAGAGAGAGAGAGAGAGAGAGGGTGTGTGTGTATGTGGGTGGGTGCATTGTGGCTAGAAGGTGAACGGGGTGTGAGAGGATATGGAGAGATTCCGACGTCAGACGTGTGGCAAGTAAGAGCACCTGTACTGAGCTTGCTTGCCCATGCATGGGTGAGGTGAGTGAATCATGGAAGGAGCAGTGTTTGCATCCATGCGAGCGTCGGCTGTCTTCTCCGCAAGGGTGATCCATCTGTGCTATTATTCTGTCCGAGAGTATGTCGAGTCCCCTTCCATGCAATTTCAATGATCAGCTGGTGTTGAGTATGAGTGTGCAGGCCTTTGACCATAGTGTAGGTTAGTGGAAGACAAAACGAAGAGAAGTGTGATAGTCAGAGGGTAGCAGCGCAATTTGGGGTGCCTAGTAAATATCGATGTAGTGGTACACAGTTGCGCCAGAGACGTGGAGGACATTATTTGTTTCTTCTCCTCCGGCTCCGGGCAGGACGTCACATCAGTCCAAAACCTGTAGATGCAGCGCACGGCAAATAGCGTATCTGCGCGGTCATCATGTACTGTGCCCCATCAGATAGCTGTCGCGCTTAGTGTAGAAAGATTAACATGGATTAAAACTCGATTGTTCCCGTTTATCGTGGCGGATGTGGGAGAGGATTTTTAGAGTTTGTCTCCCTAAGGAGGACGGCAGGGGTGCGAGGCCACGAGAATGAGTGAGAAGACTACTGCAGTATATCTAATGCGGATCTGGGAAACGCGGTTTGGGCAGAGGAGGGGCAAAACTGTGTTGGGCACGAATGTGGAGCTAACGTGGCTGGGTGGTTTGGGTGAATCTGTGGTGTTTGCAGTGTGTTCAGTCTCTGGGAGTTTGGCGAGATATCGCAACTTAAGGTGAGTGTATGAATGGATGTGGATGCATGTGTGGGCAGGTGGTGCTATATGAATGTGATAATTGTTATCGCGATGACCTGGCCGACGTGGTCGGTTTCAAGGAAAAAACGATCTTTCGTTTGAAGTCTTACCTCCTCCTCAATCTCTATATGCTGATGACATTTTGTGGATGGAAAGAAGGATCTCTCTCTATCTTTGTGTAGTGGACTCTGGCCAGATGGTTGAGTCAGTTATGGGATAGAAACGGTAACAGAGAGAAGTATCTTGAAGAATGAAGGTGATATAAAAGTATCTTGAAGAATGAAGGTGATATAAAAGTATCTTGAAGAATGAAGGTGATATCACGGACGCTTCTTTACTTTTGTGTTCGTGAACTCCTTGCGTACGACTGACCGAACACTGACTGTGAGTGAGGGAGGTAGAAGGGAAGGTAGAGGGGTGAGCAAAGGAAAGGGTGAAAGCGGCGGGTACACTCACGAACTGTTGAAATATATAGACCCGAGTTCAAGCCCAGATGTAATCGGGGCTTCTCAGTCCAAAATGATGATACCTCGACGTCGTTGCCCTTTTGAATAAGGGGAGAGGAAAATAAAAGAGAGAGAGAGAGAGAGAGAGGGGAAAGGATTGATAGGGCATGCTGGCAGTGATGAAAACAGAACGGAAGTGTTGAGGTAGAAGGGAAGGTAGAGGGGTAAGCAAAGGAAAGGGTGAAAGCGGTGGGTGCACTCACGAACTGTTGAAATATATAGACCCGAGTTCAAGCCCAGATGTAATCCGGGCTTCTCAGTCCAAAATGATGATACCTTGACGCCGTTGCCCTTTTGAAAAAGGGGAGAGGACAATAAGAGAGAGAGAGAGAGGGGAAAGGATAGGTAGGGCATCCTGGCGGTGATGAAAAGAGAATGGAAGTGTTGGGGAAGGAGGGCATCAGGGTTGGAAAGCATATAAGGGTTGATTGTGTTTGGCACTGGACTTGTCGGTGATGACAGCCGGTTGTGGTCGGTTGCCCCACCACGCGTCATGCGTAAGGCACTTGGGTGTTCCTTGTTGTGCTCCGGCCTTGCCTAGTGGCGCTATATCGGTCTCGAATAGAAGTGCGAAGTTGGTGGTTCAGATGGAGACACTCGAGCGTTTCGAAGAAGCGTCATGTACTTCGCTCTTTCCGCTTTGTAAGGCACAGGGCATATGGACACTACTGCCTGCACCGGCGAATGGAACACCGGGTTGTGGTAGGTTTAAACCAGTGAGCCATTTAAGATCTACAACTGGTTCAAAGTGATAACGACCGCATGTTCTGTTTGCTGGAAGATGGTGTCCTGGAGACTGTCAATCCTTGTCCTTCAGTTTTCTTATATAGTAGTGATATGCCTTGCTATGTATCTAATTCCTCGGGGATGGGGAATACTTCAAATCTTTCTACCCTCCGCAACTGGAATTCCAACCCGCTACAAGAATGTACTGTGCTTTTCGTCAACGTAATTTACATTTGAATGTGAAACAGCTCTTTGTGTTTCCCGCATAGTACTGCGTAAATACTAAATTCACACGATTCGCGCGAGGCATTCCGTACAATGCCGTGCTTTGCATAGAAAGATGCCATGCACATAAAGTCCGCGTGCTCGTAGTACTCTCTGCGGACAATGGCATCTACGTAGTACTCTCTGTCTGTACTCTGTGTAGAACGGCGTCCACATTGTGCCCTCGTCATAGAATCGCGTCCAGGTATCCATGTAGTACTCTCTCTGTCTAAGGTGCAGGATTGTACTGAGCATAACAGCACAGGCAGGCCTTGCATCCTGCATCCGGTTTCCGTGTTTGTCCATTTTGTAGGGGGAGGGAGTTGTCTTTTCCCGCCCTCCGAACTACTAGCAGCAAGATTACGAGGCTCGTTTTCGAACATTTCAAACTTATCTTAACCTCTTGCAATTGAGAAAGGAGAGGTGGATTTCTTCTTTCTCTCTCCAGATATAATAGAGTCCTAGAGTAGAATGGCATCCGCATGGTCTTCAGAGAATGGCGTCCACATATCCTCTGCGTAGAATGACATCCACATAGGCAAATGGTATTCACACAGTACTCTCTCTGCGTAGAATGGCATTCACATAGTACTCTCTCTCTCTCTCTCTCTCTCTCTCTCTCTCTCTCTCTCTCTCTCTCTCTCTCTCTCTCTCTGTAGAGTGGCATCGACAGGTTACTCTCTCTGTGTAGAATGAATGGCGTTCACATAGTTCTCTCTCTGTGTAGAATGGCATCCACGTAGTACTCTCTTTGTGTAGAAGGGTGTCCACATAGTACTCTCTCTGTGTAGAATGCCATCCACATAGTACCCTCTGCATCCACGGAATTTACAGAGCGTTCTGTACGACATAGTGCTCTGCATGGACAAGGTGTAGCAGACAAGGAAAAGAACATGCCTAATCATGAACACGAAGATCATCGGAAGATGCCGTCGCACCGTCACAATTTTTTTTTTTTTTTTCCAAAGCCTTTCCGCTGTCATAACCTCGGGCGCACAAGTTAGTAAACTCCAGAAACCCAAAATGTCCTGGGCCCTGCAGGGCCTTCATGCAGCTGAAGAGTACGCAACAACCGTTCCGCGTTTGCTTGTCATCATGTGGCCAACCTTGTGGTGCTTTGCTAGTCGTATTCAGCAAAAGTAATGTAATGGGCTTTGAACAGGTAAGCACCGTCCATGAACTTGGTCGTTTCACTGCAACTGTGAATGTCCCACACGAAATTGGGACGGTCTAGAGGAATCCAAACAATGGTCTCCGGCCAGACCTCTGGATCGGTCCAGTGTCTGGGTTGGGCGCAGCCATGGTTTAGACTCCTCGAGTGTCCGGCGCACCCGTTCTGGATGCTTTGCCATATCCATTGTATCGATTCCATCGGATAGCTGGTGCTTCTCTCGTCTTTCTTGTCGTCTTTCTTGTCATGACTTCTCTCTTGCCGTGTCTCTTGTCGTCTCTGTTGTCGTCTTTCATCCATCGCTCCTACTACCTTTGTGTGGACTGCAGTGGAGGGCCGGGCGGGCGTCCCCCTCTTACCCGGAATAGAACATACCCTCATTGTGACTGTAGTGGGGTTGGAAAGATACCTTGTATACAGTCATGATGAATGCATGTGCCCTGGTATGGGAACCCCTCCCCGTGTGCACACCGTGTGGTCTGCCTCTCTAAGACCTTGTGTTGGAGATCGGCAGCCCGACCTTTCGGGTGGTGACCTGGCTCCTGAAAACCTACTGCTGAGTCATCCTATGGGGTCTTACTCCACTAATTTTCAATCTCTTCGGATGGGTCCCACATGTGGCGCAACGTTCAAAGCGTATCGTGAAGTTATGTGGTTGATTGGCTACGTCCGGACCAATTTCACTTTTTTGGAGGTATAGGAGGAGGCATTTTACCTGCTGGGGCACAGCTGTGGAGATGCCGTGGTATTCTGCAGCAGAAAAGTACGAAAAAAAAAGCGACCCTGGATGTTGGATAATTGGATTGTACTTCTCTCATTTCTGGCTACTGTGGCATGGTATTTTTTAACAGGTCTGATACAGGTTACATACATTGGCTCCTTGACAGTTTTCAGGTTAGATACATTGGCTCCTTTTTGACAGTTTTCAGGTTAGATACACTGGCTCCTTTTTGACAGTTTTCAGGTTAGATACACTGGCACCTTTTGACAGTTTTCAGGTTAGATACAGGTATGGTATGGTGGTTGTGCAGTCTATTTAGGGCAAAACATCTGGCAGCACCGCAGAGCCCGTTAGTGGTGAGAGAACCCCAGGCAGACCGTCCAGTTCACTTCTTCCCGCGAAGAGAACATGTGGTCCTGTCGGTTGCAATGAATGTTTATGAGCTGTGTTACGAGCCAGATGCAGTCAGAATGCCCAGGGATTGTGTCATCGTTGTTGATGTACTATGCGCTCTGTTCCTGTCCAGATGCAGTCACAATAGCAGCCTATCCTTTTGTGTCTCGATGCAGTCATGATGAGAACCATCTTCACCCAAATTGAATGCCTGGTCATTATAATTCATAACTGTATTTAGGCCAACTTTCAGTCTCGATACAGTGCGATTATGACCAGGCATGGCGTTCTATTTGGGTGAAAACAGTAGGTAGGTGGTGAAGTTGTGACCGAGAAGAACTAGCCGCTTATAGTAAAATTGGATTGAAAATAAAACTAAATTAAAAAACAAAAAAGGATTGAAAGTACAACGCACCTCTTTGAAGTGAAATGTGGGCCAAATTTCTGGGGGCAAAAAAAAAAAAAGGTGGGGCTGGGATAGATGGCCTGTGCTGTATCCAGGGTACCAAAGATATGAATGGTTGTGGATGAACAAGGGCGGATATAATTGGTGTATGTAGTCATTCTTTCGATGTATGTTCGTGGCTAGGTGCGTGATGTAAGCTGGGATGTGATGACGGTGCGTTTGGATTCTGGTGAAGGGCCGTGAAATCAACCGTGTAGCTTGAAAATGGCAAACAGGATAAATTTTCATAAAAATCATAAAATTAAAAATTGAATATTAAAAATTAAAATGCGTTCGGAATTCCAATAGGAGCAGTAGTAGGTTTCCGTATGTGATGCTGCAGAGCGATAGTGAAGGGGAAAAATAAAAATAAAAATTAAAAAAATCCAATATGACAAGGGCATCCTCTTCCATTCGCATTGGGAGATGGTAAGTAGTCAGGGGGGTGAGCACATTCGTGCTTTCCTGGATGTATCTGGTCGCAAGTGTACTTTTTCTGGATGTATCTGGCCGTAATTAAAGCCAGAAATTACGCCCAGATGTCACTACAAAGTTGCTCTAGTATAGTTTGAGTTGTGCCCGCATTCACTGTACGCTGGCCGCGCATTGCAGTCTGCTATATATCCGTTTGAGGTAGAGTCACATGCATCATCCTCTTTTTTTTTTTATTTGTACGTGTCTTTGTGCCTCTCTTGCTTTTGGTTATTTTTAGTGATTTTTTTCATCATTTGGAAGCGGCCTGCTTTGGAACGGTGATAAGAGCGCCCTGCAACAGCAAGGTCGCCCCCTCTGCGCCGGCTGCCTTAAACGTGGACAATATTTACGGAACTCTTTTTTTTTTTTTTCTCTTTCCTTTTTTTTCCTGAAAAGGGCGACGGCCTTGAGACGTCGTCATCGGCTTGACCGGCCCTAGGTAATTCAGAATTGTAGTATTTTACTCGTCAGCAGCTGGGGTTCAAACAGGCGGTTCAAACGGGGGTTCAAATGGGGTTCAAAAGGGGTTCAAATGGGGTTGAAATGGGGGGGTTGAAATGGGGTTCAAACGGGGGTTCAAATGGGGTTCAAATGGGGGGGGTTAAAATGGGGTAAAAATGGGGTTAA